TTTCCTAGGTCTTACAGAAGCAAAGATACTAAACAAGATTCAAGAAGAATCAAGACCAAAAACAGGACAGGATTTCCTAGGCCTTACAGAAGAAAGAACATTAAACAAGATTCAGGAGGAATCTAGACCAAAAATCACTTTATCAACCCCAGAAGAATGGTTGATAGAAGCAATATACCAAATCAGCATTAAAGATTCACAATATGATAGAAAGAGGTAGAAAAAGACAAAAAGAAATCTCTTGGCGAAATTGATACACGGGCTGAGGTCCCAATAGAATCTGAATACAAATCCATCTCAATACATAGTACCATCTAGACCAAAGAGTACTAAAAATTGGAAAAAGAAAAAAAAGATCTATTATTAAGAATATTAGAAAAAATCTTTGTAGAATATTTCAAGAATCAGAAGATCTTTAACAAAATACAAGAAAGATTCTTGGAAAGAAGGCCAGGCTTTAAAAAGAAAAAGAAGAATAAGAAGACCAAAAAGGAGAAAAAGAAGACTTTCATATCCAGAACACAGAAGAAAAAGAAGCAAAGCAGTTTGACCAAGTCCCAAAAATGAAGAAACAGAAAGAAGATCTAAGATACTCTAAGGAAAAAAGAATATACAGAAGAATATTCCTTGAAGAAACCATTAAAACAAGTTCTTGGGAAGAAGAAGGAAATTACGAAGCTATACGACAGGAAAGAGAAATCATAGAAAAAGATATGAAAAGACTTTCTGGAGCTGGGTCTCAAATCGGCAAGGATAAGTTCAACTGAAAGAAGAGGAAAAGGAAATCTAAACACAAACGAGAGAATTTTGGCAATGACTTAGTGCTGAAAGAGGAAATTATTTTGTTTATTAGAAAATTAGATTTAGGATTCTGGTATAAAAAGGAGGATAGTTTATTAAGAAGAAATTGCCAATTTAATTTAGTTAAAAATTCTTTTATTATGAAACTGTCTTGTGATGGTTTTCTAGACTAGCTTGGTATAGCCCTCCGGTACGAGCAATAGCCTTAACTAGTGAGGCAGACCGCACTTGGGTATCTTTAGGGGCAGCCGAGTGATATTGGATCTGTAACTTAGATAGTTTAATTGTACTTTGTGCAAATACTTTGATCTAATAAAGATACTGATGAGGCTGCTGATATATAGAAAAAAAAAAAAAATCCGGATTGATAGTAACTATTATCATGTGATAACAGTTGCATTATCATGTGATAATAGTTACTGTTAACAGTTATCATTATCATATGATAGTAGTTACTATTAATAACAGTACTATTAACAGTTACCATTATTGTAATAGTTACCGTTATTATAATAGTTACCGTTATTATAATGGTTACCATTATAATTGAATTATCATTATGTATTATAGTTAACAGTTTTTCAGTTTTCCTAGTATACATGAGCAGAATCGCATGCTTGTGATCTAATTACTATTGGACGCACACCAGCAAATAAGGCTGGATACTAAAACATTATTTAAATTGCTTCAATGATATATACATTATACATCAGCACATTTGATGTATAATTGATCTAGCAATCTGTAGCATTAGTCAATAGTTTTATGAATGGTTAGCAAAATGCAGGATTCAGTAGGATTGGGTGGGTCAGGTGTGAATTTAGTTTTTCTTCTAAAGCTGCCACTATCTGCAATATATTTTATATATATTAGTTTTTCATGTGAGATATCCCAGATAGTGATGCTGTAGAATCATCCCTATGAAGTTGAATGATAGTTGTCACATACCGTAACTATAGTAAATAATAAATAAAGTTACAGCTATAATATCATAACTTTACTATGTTACTTACTATAGTTACGGCAAGTTACAGCCATGTGACAACTATCATTCGACTTCATTGGGATGATTCTATGGTATCTTTAATCCCAAATAGTGTTAAGGTTAGGGAAGAGACTTTGGATCCACTTAGCCAATTTAGCAGAGAACCATAAGCATTAATAGAAAGAAACTGAATATTTTATTATCACGAATAGCACAGAAAAAATAACAAACAAATATCCTTATGTTGTGTCTCAAATACACTAACAGTAATAATTTAAGTCAGTTTAAATAGGCTGGTATGTATATATCGGTATATATATTAAAGTTGTGACCTGAAACCTGAAACTATATATAAAATCCTGAAACCGAAACCGAAAGCTGAAAGCTTTTCTGAAACTCTATTACTATACCAAAAAGCTTAAAAATTTGATTTTAAACTTTGAGACTTAAAGTATATGATAATTAGATTGCATTTCAAGAATGGTTTGATTACTTTATAGTAAATATTAATTAGTTATTAATATTCTAATTTGAAAGTTTCGAAAAGGTTTCAGGTTTCGGGTTACAACTATAATATATATTAATATTCAGATCTAAATATGCAAAGATTAAACATATTAATTAATGGAAATAATTTAAGTCTGAGGGTACTCTTAGCATCTAGTCTGAGTTTAATTTTTAATAGTAGAAAATAAATTATTCTGTCAAGTGAGTTCACCAATTAGAGAACAACCAAGAAATTCATTACCTTCTGTTAATACCTTCCAATCTTCTTTACGTGCTAGAAAATTACCCAAAGATCATTTGTCCGATTTTCTCAAATGCCAAATTACAATTCAAGTGTTATACGGCCTGCTGCGATCTATAAAAGCTATCATTGCCTCTGATTATGATTTGTCTAATAAAGTTAAAATATCGGCAACAAATTTGATTAGAAAAATTCTTTTTAAAAAGTTTAAAATCTTATGAAAAAATTTTTCTAATTTAAAATAGTTGAACTTGGAAAATAATCCATTAAGTGCGAAAAATTTAAATAAACTAACTAGCAAACAGTTTGAGAAATTAGTCCAAGGAATAAAAGTTCCAGGAACTGATGAAAAAGGATTTTCAATTGTGACTTTGGATAATAGCTCCTTTACAGATGGAACTAATTTTACCTTATTAAAAAGTTTGGATAGTATCATTAAATTCAATAACCAATTAGACATGAAAAAACTGGGAGCTTTCCAAACCAAAATCCAAGAATTAGAAGCCAAAAAATCTTGAGATAATCTGTTGGATATCCAATATAAATATATCAGATAATCTATTGAATATCTGATAGATATCTGATATAAATATATTAGATAATCTATTGGATATCTGATATAAATATATCAGATATCCAATGGATATCTGAGATAAATATATCAGATAATCTATTAGATATCTGATAAAAATGTATCAGATATTCAACAAATATCTGATATAAATATATTGGATAATCTATTGGATATTTGATATAAATATATCAGATATCCAATAGATATCTGATATAAATCTATCAGATCATTCGGTTAAATCTATTTGAATATCTGATCTAATTAGATAGATATCCAGATATAGTAATACAGATAAATAGATAGCAGATTAATCTGAATTAAAACTCTAGCTATTTCCACTATGGGTTATACAAAAAATATAAAAAATTCTATTTTTAAATAATTAATCAAATTTAAAAAATTAATTTTTTAGCATTTAAAGAAGTTTTTATTAAGTTAGGGTCTCTTGAGCTTCTAAGTAAAGTTGTAGAGAAGATTTTTTAGTTTTAATAATGGTTAGATTATCAAAATCGGCCTTGTGAATTTCAAGATATTTGGAGTTAAAGGTGCAAATATAAGGATCTGCAAATTGGTGGTTATACAAAGTATTAAAGACTATAAGACTTTGTATAACTATTAATTTGTAGATCCCTATGTTCGCGCCTTTAACTCTAAATATCTTGGAATCTACCAGGCCAATTTTGATGATCTAATCACCATTAGAACTAGAAAAATCCCCCAAGAGATCCTAACTTAATAAAAATTTCTTTAAATTTGCAGATCTCTATATTTATATCTTTAACCTCAAATATCTTGGGATCTACTAAACCAATTTTGATGATCTTATCACTATTAGAACTAAAAAAAATCCTTTCTACAACTTTACTTAGAAGCCTAACAGATACTAACTTAATAAATTTTTCTTTAATTTTAAAAAAATTAATTTTTTTAAATTTGATTAGTTATTTAAAAATAGAATT